TTGTGCCAGTCCATATACTTCCTAAAGAAAGTGCAGGGCAACAGGAAAGAAACTCGGGAACCATTTCACTGGAGAGAACAGAGCATGGAAAAATAATAGTTCCAGCTTCAGAGTGAGGCACAGAGGAAATAGCTGTTTGCACCACCATACGCTGCCCGTCTCGGCAAACAGAACGTAACACAGAACTTGAAGTACACAGGAGAGAAAAAAACAAAAACCAGCCTCAAATGTCTCATTTTACTGTTGATAGTACCTCCACTCACCATGCCTCCGAAATTTCATGATTTAAATTGTATGAAGATAATGAAATTCCTAGTTTTTCTCCCTGTTTCAAAACTGGTTTTGGTGTTAAACAACACGGTCCATAGGTTGTATTAGCATTTTAAATGTTTATACATTAAATACTTAAGATAATTCTATTTTTTTTTGTATAACAGACAATGCAGTTCCAAGGCAAACTAAAGTTTCTTTTTGGACAAAGGAAGAAGTCCTCTTCAGGAACAGTATTGCCACCTCAGCTGTCCTTATTTTGCATAGTGGTACCACTTCTGCTCCCTTCCGTGACAGAGATGAAGATGAAAAGCCTGCTTGTGAAAGCAAAACACAAAGCTGATGATGCAGCAGCAGTGAATACAAAGTATTTTCAAATTAATCTTTTAGCAGTTAGTAAAGTATACTATGGGCTTTATGTTTATTAAGCATGTAAAAAGCACAAATTAGGCTAAATAACTCTCCATTTTAAAACTCTTTCTTAGAAAAGTGAATAATTTATCTGGATTTAACTATATAATACAGAATAACTATGAGATGAGATGAGATGAGATGAGATGAGATAATATATTGTACTTTACATATAATACATATTATTATATTGCTGTATTTAATTTTATATAAAAACTGGAAAGTTAGGCTATCTTCCTAACCTTCAGAAGTTACCAACACAGTAAGTCATTCTACTAGTTGTAAAAATGGAAAAGAAAAAGTATTTTCACTGAGAGTTTTCAAATTTCAGTATCTTCTGGTAGCACAATTATTTGGACTGGGGCATTTTGGTAGCAAACAAAGGAAAAGGAACGCTTCAGAAAGCTGAATATGCGTGTGTGTTCACATAGAGCCAAATGAGATGTATTTGGTGTACGTATTTATCTTACAACAGAAGGCTTATGAACACATAAGTCTACAATTGCACTAAATGGCCTGGGGCTGATCACTGGGTAGCAATCACAGAAGACCAGGACACATTGTGTTGACTCATTTCCTTCCTAACACCTATTTTCGTTACTCTTCTATGATCAAACTTTAGTTGATGTTTGGGGCTAGGATTATGTTTTCCCTTATTTGGTTAAACATAACCTTACAGCAATGAGGTCCACTGCTGTGAAGCAAAATGCTCATCAGTGTGACTGACAGCATCATAATTTGGCTTTTAATTAGAATATGTTTGTGTATGTGTGGATTTACTATCCAGACGTGTAATGTGGTTCTAGCACATACATCCTTTTGACAAGAATTAAATTACTGGAAGGCTGATATAATGGACTACGCAGGCTTTTGGAACGGAGTTGGAAAGTCATTTCCACTTGCTAGTTTTTCAGTGGCCCAGGTGAAATTAATCGATGATCAGAATTCAGCTCCTAGGAGAGAGGTGCTTTACTTAAGTTTTACCAACTGACTGGACAGCGGCCAAGGATTTGACAAGAATGATAGTGGGCATTTAACTTCAGTGTTTCCTTTGGTTCAGGCCTAAAGCATGCTAGCCAGGGATGGTGGGCAAATTTATATAGTCATTCTTTTTCTGATGGTCTTAATAAAGAGAAAAATTTGTAAAGCAGTGTTACGGACTTTGCACCCTTTCCAAGCCCTAACATGCATTTTGAACTAAAAAATGGAAGAAATTCATTCAAATCATATGATGATTATTGCAAACTGAAGTCATGCTAACTCTTAAGTGCATTGCTGGTCAGTGTGATGTACGTACCTTGAATGTACTTTGAATAGGCAGAGCAGAGTATACACAGCATTTGTCTCAATTCAAGCTGAAACTTATTATTCCAGATATAGTGAGTTGTGAGCAGAATATTCCTAAACATAACTATTCTCCTTAATTGAATGCAGAATTCAGTCATACGCCAGTGTGAGCAACCGAATGATGCAGGAAACATAGATAATTATTTAGTGTTGGTTACTATATATTTAAACCGTAACTCTTTGCTAATGGTCAACAGCTTGAGGATCACATCTTTCAGAGTTTGTGATTTTACTGTGTTGTCACTCAGTGACAAGGAATTTTCCACATATTCTGTCCTCTACAGCTCCAGTTCCAAAGGTAATTCAGGGCTGTGTGAAGCAGCAGAATTATATGGAAGAAACAGTCATCATGAAGGTGCTGCTTTCACTAATGTGTTACAGATTGCTGAAAACCAAATCAAAGGTGTGTCTGCTAAGTACTTCTGCAATATATACAGTTTATGGAGAAAGAACCTTGTCTTGTCTTTTCTTTTCTCCTGTTAGGTTTTCAGGTTTTGGTCCCAATGCTCTCTTTTTTCTGCTCTCTAAAACCCCTTCTTTAAAAAACTGCAAAACAAATTGTCTGCCTCAAAAGATAATACCAATCAGTCTGCTATTTCAGAGTGGCCAGAAATACTGTGATGCCAAGTTTACAGATACATAAACATTCATAGTAAATAAGAATACTCCACGTATGCTTTCCTAAAAAAGGCAGCACTGAATTTAATAAGATTATGTGAAAATCTTAATAATTAATGACAATATCTATCCCTCTTTGAGGAAAACTGGATGATATGTTACAAATGCTACTTTTCCCCAAAGATCAGAAAACAGAGGAAAAATAGAATGTATTGTCTTCAAAACTCATGATTTGTTTGCAGCTTTGACTTGCTTTTCCAGTGTTTGGCTGTGCAATATTATGAGAGTCTATGCTGTATTTCAGATTTTACAATGGATAAAATTTTGATGGTGAGTCTACCCTAGTGGGCAACTTATTCTTGAGTAGAGTTGTACTCAGCCTTCTGTCATACCTGCTGGAAACCTTTAACTTCTTTAAAACCATTCCTCTGTCATAGCCCCATTTTTCTGAACATTTTCTTGTTGGTATAGTGCTATTACTGAGAGAGAAAAAATATAATGAACTAATAATACTGAAAAATCCTTGGTTACAGTTTAAGTGCCTCATTAGGTTTTTCAAATTTTATTTTTTACATGTGATTTGCCTAGTTTTGTGACAGATTTTAGCTTGTATTTTCCTATGCTGATGATTCCAGGGCAGCAAACAAACCTGTGAACATTCACCCACAGTTTAGGTAAGAAAAAATACTAAATACTGCTTGTATTAAATTAGATTTTCTTTTAAATTGCATAGCAAAGAATAATGGAGAAAACGGCATTTCTCTAGTCAAAGTACAAACAAACGAAGATCACTGGGTCTGGGTTCAAGCTAACACTCAACTTCTGTATCGAAGTGGTTGTTCAGAATATGTCCTTGCTCAACAGCAAATGTTAAAGTAAGTATATTTTCCAATACTAAAAAAACCTCTGTATTTCAGAAAAATGAATGTATTCTTTATGTATGAGATCTTTAAAAGTACTGTAGTGACCTAAAAGAAGAGCTGAATGAGAAGTATTTAGTTTACTTACAAAATGGAAATCCATTTTTGTCTTGAATCATATGAAATGGCTGTTATAATCGTAAACAATATTCATTTTTTTTCTTCAGTCTTTTTTTCTTCTGAAGTTGAGTGTACATACATACTAAAACAGAATAATTCAAAACCAAAATGCTTGATTATTAATATGTTTTGACTTTCTTGCACAAAAATGTATTTTGGGGGTTTGTTTTACTTTGCAGCTGAAACCCTTCGCTGATTTAGTGTCCTGGTTTTTCTACTTTTTAACATTTGATTATGTTAAGCTTTTTTTTTTTCATTATGGATGACAGCTGAGCTCATGTTTTTAGTTGTGGATGTTCAACATAATCTAAACAGGGATGCTCATATTCATTGTATGTTTGTAGATAGATACATCTAGTTGGCTGTAGGCTCAGCCTTGGAGTGGAAACTAATCTCACAGATTTGCATTCAAAGAGGACCTCTCCGTTGGGTTTTACCCTTTCCTCCCAAATAGGCTTTTCTTCTTTCCTCCATGGGATTCTCTGTTCCAGTTACTGTGGGCCTTGTTGAGGTATCTCTTCAAGCTGGTCTGAGGGAAGAGATAAGAGGGTGGACTGAATGAGCAGGGGCCAGGAGGTGTACACAGTCACCATCTGGCCCAGTGGAAAAAATGTGGCTGTTACCACTGTTTTTTTCCTTTAGGATGCCTCGCAGGTGGAAGAAATAAATGAAAAAGTCCTTGAACTTCTAGAGTAGGTATCACTTGCAGGCAGCATATCTCCCAGGATCCACGTGAATAGCAGAGGAGCTCCCACCTGAGGGTGGTGGAACTCTTTACCATTACTGGGACGGCACAAACATCATCTTGCCATGCTGTTAAGAAGCAGATTAAATGGGGCTGTTTCTTGTATTCAAGTCTCTACTTCTAAATTGTTTTCTGTGTAATTAAGCGTGCTCTTCGATGTTTGTTTAGTTACATTTTTACCCTCTGAGTGGTTAAAATCCTTCCTTTGTGCTTGATAGTTCCTGCAGACTGAAGTGTTACAAGAGTTGGCCTTGGAGATTACATTTTCTGTCGGGATAGTCTGCAATAGACTTCATCCTTACTACTACTTTTTTGGTTAAAATGTATGCTGTCTTCCTGGAAACATACATTCTTTTGGAGAATTTTCACTGGATACTATTTCACTGTAAAATTCTTCATTTGGGGGTCTAAGCTTTTGTGACTATTGCATTTTGTTCAGTCCATTGCTTCCCAGTTAGACCATTTCCTGAGAAGCTAGTTCTGCAGCAAACTTGTATCATACCATTTGCATCTCAAGATTATCAATAATAACAATAACAATATTTAGCAGAGGACTGAAAATATTTAATACCTAATGGAAAAAAAAAGAGAGAAAATATTCTCCTTTATTGGTGTACAATTACCACAGTGGGACATTCTCTCTTTGTAACAACATGGACTCCCTCTACTGGAAAATCCTATACTTGCACATTGAGTCCATATCGAAGGAAAAAATTGCTAATAATGAGCTAAGAAAAAAGCCTTCTAAAACCCTTACTAGCTCTCCAGGTTTTCATGCTCGGTTTCTTATTGAGATGTCCACTTCTTGTTTGGAGAGGGAGGGGGCGGGTTTGTAGCACTGATCCTGCCTGGTCCGGAATCTGCACGCTAGTGAATTCCAGACAAATCCCGAACCTGAAGATTTGGACCCCAAGTTCTGAAAACTGCTGCATCGGGCATGGAAATGCTCAGGCAACCTTCTCTGCCAGAGCTCTTCACTAATGTTGAGTACTTCAGCTGGAGGTCATGGAAAATGAATTCACTGGCCATCTTAGAAAACGAAAGACAACACAAATTAAGTTAGACATGTAAAATGTCTATGCCCAATGTGAACATCTGTGACTACTCTGGACACTTAAGTCAGGCACTTTATTTCCTCTCAGCTAACTCTGCATTCTCAAAATATAACACCCCCATGGTTCTCCCTCAAATCACTTTGATCAGAAAGTTCTGATGTGTCCAAATAATTCCTTGTTAACAAAATACATCTCATTTAAGATACTCTTTGCATTTTATCTCTAGATTTTTCTGCATACAAATATTATTTAGGTATATTTTAAGGGAAGAACAAAAGTGTAAGGTAGTTACCATACTGTACTACAATATTTGAGGTCTTTGTGAACTGTGTGCCTGAAATGGAAGAGTAAATGCATGTCAGCATTTAAATGAAACAGTGCCACAGAAAGGTAGCTGTGCACACACATTGACGCCCAGATGCATGCACACTCTTTTTTTCTCTTCAACAAGTGCAAAGGCCATATGGACAAGAGCGTGAGAGTCCCATATTAAGTTAAGGACATAGTATTGCTTGTAATGTATGTCGAGCCACTCCGTTTGTATGCCAGAAAACATCCATTTAGAAACCTCTGATTGACTGATTTTTTTCTACTTTTATTGAAAGGGAAGAAGACGAACAACTGAAGATACCAAGCAGTTTTGCCAGTTTGAAAGGAAACCTGGAGGGACTTTCCTATAACAGTGCTATTGAAACTCTGGGCCAGTGGAAGCATCTTAACTGGACAGCAGTAAAAAACGAACAAGATAATGTAAAAGTGAAGTTTGAGCCTCATACAAACGGTGAGTGTTTTATGCAAGAGGAACCTCTCAGTTCTAACACATCAGTTTTAGGCGTTCAGAACAACTGCACCACAAACGGTGGCTGGACTTTAAGAAACTCAAGCTCTTGTTCTATGAGCCAGCGAATGAACACATGTTCAAACAGGAGAGCTGGATCATTCTACAACAGAGACCAAAGTTTCTTAAATTTAGCATCAACTTGCCCTTCCCACTGGGGGAGTGCAGAAAGCTGCCAGCCTTACTCGGACGTACAACAACGTTGTGCAGAGAACTATGCGACGGACCATCTGAAACTGCAGAGACAGTTAATATCCTCAGAGTCTCTCTATGACGCAGCCTGTCCCTTGGAGATGCCTATCAAAACAGAATACGATTCCGATTCCGAAAACATTGCTGATATCTACCTGACATCGCAAAACCGAGCCTGGCTGGATGAGAACGGCTCGGGGAGAAAGCAGGTGTTTAGCTACCCCAATAGAGTGCACCTCAAAACAGAACCGGACCTCTGTGAGCCAGCCTCACCTTGTCAGAAGCCAAGGCACTGCCTTTACACACCTCATAATTGGCAATGCATTGTAGCAAATCATCCCAACAACCTGAACCTGAACAGATCTTGCAAGGGTTCTCGTAGCAAGGAGGTGGCCCCATTTTGCCCTCAGAACTCCTCCGGGTGTTGGGAAAGCATGCCTGACCTGCCGCACACGGCGTGCTACGGCCACTTCTACAGCCCCAGCCCAGGGGAGGAGAAAGAGCAGAATAACGAGGTGTTTAAAATGCCGTGTGAATTTAAAAACCCCTGCTTGGTTCAAGCAATCAAGCGTGAGCCCCTGGATTCTCCACCATTGTCCAACAGTGGACAGAACAGAGTACACGTGAGCTTCCCTGAAAATACATTAGCAGGTCCTGTGCCTCATAAAACCACTGAATGTTCATTTTTACAATAGATTTTATAACATTTTGAATATTTATAACATAATAATGTTAAAAGCAAGAAGTTGTAGATTCTCTTCCAGTTGGGTTAAATGAGTTCCTAAAATTAAAAGCCAGTGGAAAGATTTTGAGAGAGTGTGTGTGCATCTGTGTGTGAAAAAAACCAGACAGAGACACACACACATCCTACACCCCCTACCCCCTGCTACTGCCCTTCTCTTAGTGATCTTTGGAAAGAAAGAAAGACAAAGAGAAAGACAGAGAGAAAGACAGAAAGACAGAAAGACAGAAAGACAGACAGACAGAAAGAAAGAAAGAAAGAAAGAAAGAAAGAAAGAAAGAAAGAAAGAAAGAAAGAAAGAAAGAAAGAAAGAAAGAAAGAAAGAAAGAAAGAAAGAAAGAAAGAAAGAAAGAAAGAAAGAAAAAGATAAAATCTCAGGCACAGAAAAATAATCATTAGTCACTGCACAGGTATACCTGCTAATTTGTCTTTATCATCTTTCCTCTCTTGTCTACAGTTCATTACCAAGGTCTAGCTAATTCTGTTTCCTGCCTTTGTTCTGTTTGTTTGTCTCAAGCTGATGTAATGCCTCTGTGCAATAAGAAAATGTTTATGGTCTTTAGTGTGGCCAGTTTACCTTAGGAGTTTTTGCATTTTTATTTTTTTGCTACTTTAGTAAGAAGCATCAGCTATTCCTTTTTCTCAACATTAAATTGATGGCAACAGGCAAGGGCCTCCCAAAACAACTTCTTAATTTAAAAGGATAGCATTAATTAAAACAAATTACTTTCACAATATGCATTAGAAATTATTTCACTTCAAACTGAAGTTCTTCCCAAGTTTCCTTGATAATACAAATGTTTTAGTACCCATATTTTTCCATTTTAAAGCCATCAGCCTTTCATGTTGCTGTTTGAAAGACTGAACAATGGGATGTTATCCACTTCTATAAATGAGTTACAAACTGCTGTTAAATGTACATGAGAAGAAAATATTTCTCCAATTATTTCCCTTGCTGTGACTTGTAACATTAACAAAGGAAATGCACTTTTTTATTTGATAGTATCTCTCTGGCTGACAGCAGCTTGTTAGACATCATCACCTGACATCAAAACCAAATCCCACACTAAGATTAGAGATGTTATTTTCAAAGCATCCTAGTTTCATTCCCAAAAGAAAATCTTAATCTGAGAGCTAACTGGAGGATGTATGCCTTTCAAAAGCACTTTGGTGCACTTTGGTGCTTTTGAAAACAGATCCGTATGCTTTTCTTTGAACACAGGCAGTAATGTATTTCCACAAAAAAAAAAAAATCTACAACTTCTGTTTTGTTTTTTTGTTGTTGTTGTAGCTTGACTCCTGCACTAACTTTTTTTTAAAAATTGCACTATTTCAACTTTATATCAACTTCACCTATATAAAAACCACATCATTTAAAAAAAGCTTAGATGTATATGTGCTTTTCGAAAGAAGCCCTATAAGGAATGTTTTCTTTTTCAAAATGTTATAAATAATTATAATGTCTTCATTTCTATATCTACTAGTCACTAAGGGCATGGCTTTACATGCCAGTCAAGTGGCATAAACTTCTCCCGAATGCTATGAATATGTGGGATAAATGTAGTTTTCAGGTAGGGAAATGGTTCTGCACCTGGGAGGCTGCTCTTCTTCAAGACTGTCTGCCTTCTCTGATAGAAAATACTGCCTGTAAGTTAGAGTTGGCAGATGTAAAGATATACATTCTCTGCATGTCAGTTAAGTGCTTATGGACAATGGTTTGATCTGAAATGCTGCACTTTACACTGAAATGGTTGAGATACACACGTACCTTTTGATGACTGTCCTGCAGAAGGCAGTATTCCCAGCAGAAAGGCAAGAGTGGACTGTAAAGAAGTGCAATAATGTCTTACTGTAGCTCAAGTTAAATCTGCCATAGTCCAGCTGACCATACCCAAGCCATGAGGACATCTCTCTTTTTTTGTGCCTGAGGTAAATCAGCTCCCCGTTGGCTATGTGCTGCCTCTTATTTGAGACAGTCTTGATATCCTTGGCTTAATACTCTTACCAGTGAGTGCAATGCAACACCAGACCCCTTTCAGAGATGAGACCGTAATGGTGGAATTTACACCGCTCTCTGGTACACCACGGTTCATGTCACATAAATTTAATCCCAAACGCAAAAATACTTCTAGGCAAGCAAACTGGTTACTCATGTAGAGTGAGACTGTCAGATGTCAGTGGCGCTGCACAACTCTGCCTTGTTGATTCACTGTCTGCAAAAATAAGAGCAAGCAGTTCCTTTTAGACTCTCTCAGAGTAGCTCTCATAGGCCATTGCTTGGCGTGCAGCAGTGGCACAGCTTACGTCCCGGTGCCAGACACTCTGCTGTGGCTGCACAGCTGCTGGTAGGGTTGTGCTATGAACCGTGTAATATTCTCCAGTCCAGCTCCTTGTGCAGCTGCCTGGCAGAAATGGGATAGGGTGGAGACAGGGTAGTGTGGGAATAGGTGGCTGCGGGCAAGTGGAGGACAGGCCAGCATGACTGCTGAAAAGCTGCTCGTTTAATTCCATGCTTGGACTCACTGTCACACCCCTCTGAATTAGAGTACCTGGGGCTGGTTTCGCACTACCTTGCACCTTCTCTCATCATTTACATTAATGCAACATGACTGTAAAACACTATTATCCTCATCTGGACATGCTGGTGCCATTTTGCACGGATGTAAGTGGTCACACGAGGTGCAACTCTGTAGAGGACTGTGCCACTGAATGCCCGTCTGTGCTTAGACATATTTCCTGGCATGACTACAGTGGGAGAACTACACCAGCCCAATTTCTCTCTTCAGTGCGGAAGCAACATACTAACAACAGGAGTTCTCTACAGATCTCTCCGTTACAGAATAAAGGCTATTTTGTTGACATAACTCTATCTACTCTAAGGTTTTCCTGGTTTATTTCAGTTGGGATGATTTTTCTCATGTTCCCAACAAACCCAGGCACATCTTACGCATCTTAATTGATATTATAGAGGTAGATGAAGCTTCTGCATGTAAGAGAATCTAATCTGATATAAGAGATGCAACGGTCTTCTAGGAGGATGGATGAACGTGTGACTCAAAAGTGAGGTGTCACCTTCTGACTCTCCCCTGTGTAAATGCAGTCAGGTGTGCTTGCTTGTTGTTCCATAAAGTCTGAACCCAAGAAAAACACACTTACCCTGAGCATCACGTTTCGATTTGGCCCACTTAATTTGTGGCCGAGTTGTTATTCCAGGTCTCACATGAAAAAATGGGGCATCAGTGGAATTGTTTCTAGTCTAAGTTATCACACACATGCAGGAATCTCCTAAGAACTGTGCTTATAAAGAGATCAGCAGCTTATCCTCTTTTTGGACAATCGCTAGCCACTGTCGATAGCAAACAAAGACCAGTTCCTTCTAAGTTCTTGGTATATTGCACCATTTGGAAAGAACAGAGGAAACAAATGCTAAAAAAGAATCTCTTGCTATCTGCTGTCAAGGCACAGATATTCCTCCATCCTCTCCCCATGACAGGTGCCCTGGATTGAGTCTGGACTGAAAACTGACATCGCATTGTACCCTGTTAAATTGCCACTGATTTAATCTTATAAAAGCTTTTTGTATGCAGACATTAATGATCCCCTGACACTGATCATTAAATAGCATGAAAGACAGAGCAGTTGTTTTACATGGTTACATTTTCTTGGTGTTTTTTTTTGCTTTGGTATTATTTTAAAAACTAGCACTGAGAAGTAGGGTTTAAGATGTTTTCAATCACTGGTGTTTAGCTTTTCTCCTTAACGAGCTGGTATTTGTATCCCTCAAGTGCAGCCCTAAAGTCCATTTTAGGAGCCTCCCATTGCTCAACAATAAAAAAAATCTTCTTGTAGAAGAAATGCCTAGTCAAACGCTTGCCTGATAGGAACTTGGAGCATTCAGGCTCAAAGAAATGCCTTTCTTTTTCCAGTGCGTGCCTCTAACACCTGACTGATGATAGCATTCAAACTTCTTCAGCCATAACCTCTCCAGAGTCTGAGACAGAATGAACTCATGAATTCTGGTGTTCAGGAAGGGTATTTTTTGGTATGGAAGGTGAGCAGTTCTAAAAGCTCTGAGAATGTGTCTCCCTCTGAGATGTTACTCGGTCCACAAACAGCAGAGGCTATTATCAATGCTAAAGCTTCCAGTTAAGGTCTTGTCTTTACTGAGAATGTGGCCTGATTTTAGCTACCAGCAGACAACTGCTGAGCACCATAGAAATGCTAGTCCAACTGAAGTACACCCGTGTAAGCCACTATTTTTACTGAAAACCAACCTGATCTGAGCTAGGAGTAAACTTGTACGGCAAAAAGAGTGGATTTTCCTGCTGCTTCTAAGGTTTGCTGGGATGCAGTTACACCAGTGGCTGAAACTGGGTCAGACCTCCACTGTAGATAACACTATCAATAATTTATATTCACTTTAGACTCTTTGGATACCAAAGTAGAGCTTTGTTTTGAAAATCTGAAGTGAGGGCAGCAGTGCGCAAGGGGTAAGCTGGTTTCAGTTGGTCCTCAGTTTGGAGATTTAACTAGTGAAATGAAAGATCAAGGGACTGTACCTAAATTCTCTGTAGGAAAGACCGACTTCCTACTCCTTGATTGTAATACAGTAACGTGAAGTATCTCTCTATGTTTTAATTGCCCTTTATTAGAACACAGTGATGTATTCTTAAAATCCTTAGAACTGAGTCTCCTCTGGATGGCATAGGGAGGTCTGACATTTGCGCATCAGCCAGTTCAGTAAGACTTCAGGTGCTGATCCTTTGATATGGTATTGAGATCGACAGGGCATGTGCAATTCTTCCCGAAATTCCCAGTGCTTAAAATACTTAAGTGGGAGGCAACGAGCCTGAGGCAAGGAATATTCTGTGGGATAAGATCAGCTTCTGCTGCCTAGAAGCCTTTCTTAACTCTTTGTGTTGAAGCCATATTGGAACTTAAGTAGGACAGCCTCTCCCACTGTAGTTATTTCAGAAAAGCCATTAATCTGTCTTAACAATGTGTGATGTTTTAATTGTAATAGTTAAAAGACACCATTTCCCCTACCTATGAATACATACATTGCCTTAGGTAGTGGGAAAAAGTTAACGTACTCATTTTCTTTCATCAGAGTATCAGGTAACTAAAAAACCCAACCTCAGAATGATGGAGGTGTAGAGCCATTGTTCTGTTTTTCTTGTCTTTTCTTTCTGCTCTCTTCTTTTCCTTTCTTTCTCTCTACTGTCTTAGTGTAAACATTACAAATGGAAAGACTTTTCTGATTATATTGAGACAAAAACCCTAAACCTAAACCAGACTGTAGAAAATTTCTTGCTAGAAAAGGAGTTTCTTTCCCTGGAGTTTCTTCTTCTCTTTTAAATCTTGCAAAGTCCTATGTGAAATCATGTGTCGCAACTGAAGCGGACTTCTGTAACATGCGTAGTGAGCGAAGAGATTCTGCAGGTGGCCATGCTCAGGTTGTAGTCACAAGGTTCTTACTTAGCTGAAGGAGACTCATACAACAGGGCTGCCGGTAGCTTATGTTCACAGACACTACCACCCTGACAAATACATCTTTGTCGTGTTTGAATACACGTGGCATATGTTCTTGTCATTATAAATACCTTTCCCTGTCATGCTACCAGAAATTCTTCTGAACAAAATCATCAGTGACAGGCTGAAAAATATACTAAAACTACAAAGTTCTTTTTAAAAAAAAAACATACGGAGATCCAAGCACTTGCCTGTGCTTAGGCAAAGACTTTCTTTGGGTGGAGGTTTGGAAGGAAAGTAAAAAAAGATTGCTAAGACAAATTTTGGGGACAAAAATATCACCTTGATCGATATATTGCTGTCGAGGTGTAATTATTCTGTGACTACAGCATTAATTCTCCACCCACTGCTAATAACTCTCTGCTCTGAAATCATGTCTTTATTTTTTCTGTTGAATTGAATTTGTAACTTTTCAGGCTGAAAATAATTTGTTGAAAACAAAGATTGAGGTAATTCAGTGCTAAGCTGTATTTCTCAATCAGACTGAAAACATCATTCTAGGAAGCATGAAGTGCTCCTGCTCCTTTCCTGGGGTTAGTCTTCGAAACTCTGGCAAATTCAGGGTCTGCATCAACTCTCTTGCTGCTGGTCATTGTAGCTCAGTCATGCAGCTGGTGCTCTAACTGTGCACTCTGAAGTTTCTCGGGATTTCCTTGATGCAACAGGGCTCCAGGGATAGCTGTACAACAGCCAAAACTTCCAGTTTCACATTTGTATTGGTAGAATTATGGTATTCCAATGACTAATACAAAAACGTGGCAGGAGGTAATAGAACATCAGCTGCTTAGCTAGTTTCAGTAATTGTATTTGACTAATTAAAAGGCTATGTTAAAAAAAGGAAGTGAAGTTCTGGTCTAGAGCTCCCCATTTTGCACAGGAGGGTGTAATAGGAGTTACACCGCTGTTCTGCCTCTTCTTAGGTCACGCTTTGGTCTCTCCCTTCCTTATCCCTTCTGAACCTCTTTTTTTCTTTTTTTTTTTTTTTAACTTTTGGACTGTATGTATCCTCCCTTTGTTCATTTAAAATGTGAGATACGGAGAGGCAAGCATCAACTGTTGTGTGTTTTTTTTAAATTTTGTCTTTCTAAGAAAGAATTTCAAAGCGGCAAAAGTTATCTCAGTCCTCAGTAACAGTATTCAGTTTTCTTTCTACTCTTATCATAGCCAAAAAGATTCTTCCTCTACATGGTCAATAACCTTCCCTCTTCTGAAAGGCTCCTTTCTCACCCCCCCCCCCCCCCCCCCTAGCTTCTTAACAAAACCAAAGAACACTTTCTTCCTTCAAGGCAGTTGTGTCCGTCAAAAAAACTTCCTTTATCCTCCTCTAGCTTTTCTACCTTTGTGATTTTATAGGATGGTACATTGTGGCCTCCGCCCTTTCTGTCTTCTGCATCTGTAGCTTTATTTCCGCTTTAGGCATGCTTCAAAAGTTTTGCCAAAAGAGCGATGTTAGGCAGAAGCGCAATCCCCCACTTCCCCCCTGCCCTCCTTCGTAAGACAGAGGTACTCACTAATTGCAGCTGTACTCCTAAACCAGAAAAAAAGTCAACTTGCTGGTGAAATATCACCCTGTCTTCAGGAGGCTGTACTGCCAAGAAACGCTGAGCTACCACCAGCAGTTGAGTTCTGCAAGTACACACACAGCCAAATCCTTTTGTGTCTCTCCTTCAAAAAACCAAGGAACTCATTTTCTCCTTTTTTGCTTCTCTCATTTTTTTCTACACGTGTTTATTCTTTCACCGTGCAATTGCACTTTTGATACGTAATTCTTTTTTTAAAAGAAGGGTATGGAAGCATTACACAACCTGTACAGTGTTTTCAATTAGTCTATTTTAGGTTTTGAGATTAGAGCCACAAGGAATTATCAAGCGCTTTAATGTGACTCCACGTAAAGGCCCCTGACTGTTGCAGAAATGCCCATGAAAAATACCAGTACAAGTAGTCTCATTCGTCTTGAAAAGGGGTATAAACTGCCATCAAACTCCGCTAACAATCCCGTATTGAAAGTGCCGTTCCTGCTCCTCCTGAAGAAACACAGCGGAGGACAAGACTAAAAAAAAAGGTGCGTGGAGATCTGCCAACAGTTTTGGCCTAAGTGGCAACTGCACGATTCCCAAAACCAAGGGCACGTTTCTGGAGAGACCACCACAACCACCCGAGCATTATTTGAAAACGTACCGGTTTGTGCGTGGAACGCGTGCGTTTAGGCGTGCGATTCGGGCACGCGTGCTGCCTACGTTGACAGCTGAAGCGTTCGGGCAGGCCGGCGGCGGGCAGGCACAGCTCCAGCCCCAACGGCCGGCCCCAACGGCCGCCCCGGGGAAGTCAACCCAGCAGCTCCTGCGAAAGCAGAACGAGTTAACGGCAATACCCCGGTAACGCCGTAAGCTGACCAGTACCGACTGTGTAACCTGACCAGTACCGACTGTGTAACCTGACCAGTACCGACTCGTGCTGCTTCGTGTACAAGTGTAATAGACGTCACCATGTATCACTAGCGGGCTAATTAAAAACAGGCAGTAAAACGTGGGTTTGATATTTTGGAATTTTGTTAAAACCGGTGCACTTTTCTGTTATTTTTTTGTACTGTTTCCTCAGCCTGCTTTTAGAAGGAACTTTCAAGCGTATTTCTTAAATTATATTTTACATTTATTACCAGTCAGAAGTGTAAAGTCAAGACGTTTTAAAATAAATATTTGCATTTAAATTAAAGCCGTTGCCGAGCCTGTTTCCTGCCCCTTCTCCGGGGCCCGCAGGCTGCACGCCCCACGGCCCC